ACCGTTAAAGCCTGGGGCCGCGCCCACCGGAAGCGACTGAACGGCGCGGTCGGCCGGGTACCGGGCGGTCGCTGGGGGACCTTGGAGGCCACGTGGTTCGACTTCCCGTGCGCGGTGCGGGCACTGACGCCCAGAGAGGGTATGGAACTGCCCAAGGTCACACAGCCTTTCGTGCCTTGGCCGGCCCTGCTGCCCTGGGCTCTCCAGCCGACTTCCCCTTCGGGGAGCCCCTCGTTACGTAGAGTAGGGTTAGAGCCCGTCCCTAGTTACCGGGTACTGACGGGATCGAACCGTTTCATCCCTACCCCGCCAGACCTTCCTTATAAGCCACGATCTTGAACCAGAGAAAAATGTGCACAGACAAAAAGGATCGTGGTTTATGGCCTCTTTCAGGCCTCGGCTCTGGAAGAACTCAGGAAAGCCTTTTTATTTGTATCATTTATTTACTTTCGAGACAGGGGCTCACCACGTAGCCCAGGCTGGCCTCGGACTTGGCAGCGATTCTGCAGCGTCAGCGTCCCAAGCGCTGGGATTCGGCGCCACCACGCCCAGAAAAAGCCATTTCTTAATGCCTGTCAAGAAAATCCTGCCTGCAGTTACTTGACTTCCCCTGGAGCAGGTACATGGGCTCCAGGTAAAGAATTCACGGAACTGTTAACGCGTTTCGGCATCGTGCCTGGGTTGAGTGGGTGCCGCGGGTCTGGGCCGTGAGTGGGTAGCTGAGCTTGTGAAATAGGCACCTAGCACGGGCCGCCCTGGGAAAGCCCGGCGGGACATCTGAGTTCGCAGCGGGCAGGGGACTCCAGAGTTACCAAGGGCTCAGCCAGCTACTTTCTACCTTTGGTTCTTAAACGAGGGAGACACGCTGTGTCCGCGCTAGAGAACCTCCTCGCAGTGTGCAGCTAGACGGGAGGGACCCCATTCCTCAGCCATCTTATGACTTTGACAGTTTCGTGCGCCTTAGTCCCTAATCCAAGCCTTCTGCTGTTAACTGCGAGGTTGCTGCCCCCGAATGTAACTGTCAGAGACCAGCAGACCAGGAGAGGGCGTGCGTGCAGATAGATCCTTGTGTTCTTGTGTGGATCACCCACGCTGCTGCTGGTCCGTGTGTCCTCCGCCGCCTTGCTCCTGCTGTCCCGCAGCTTCCTTGGTCACCTCCTCGCCCTTGGCTGGCTCGGGAGCATGCCGGTGGGGGCAAATGGATTTTGTTTTCTCAGGTACTGGGGTTCAAACTCAGAGCCTGGCACGTGCTAGGCAAGCACTAGCCCGGAACTGCGTCCTTTTTATTTATTTTTGGACTGGAGCTCAGACTCAGTACCTTGTGCTTGAGAGGCAGGTGGCGGCACCACGGAGCCGAATCCCCAGCAAGGCAGGCTCTTTCAAGTTGCACAGGCCGGACTTGAACTGCAGTCCTCCTGCCTCAGCCTGCCAGAGTGCCAGGATTATAGATGTGCGCCACCATACCCGGCTGCAAACAGGTTTTAAAAGTAGCTTCAGTGAGAGGCCAAGAAGATTAAAATGGAGCAGCAAAGTTCTACTCATACGTCAGATCCTTACGGTTTCTCCATTGACCTCAGGTTCCTCACGACGGGTTGGGTACTATCAAGAGCTTTCCTACCTGACCCGAGCTCCCGAGTGAGCGACACCAGAGCTTGGGTGTGAGCGCAGACACCAGGAGGGGAGGAGCTTGCTCCCTGGTTCCCCCGTCCTGGGTGTGCATGACTTAGCTTCCTAAAACGTGCGGTGGGCTGACAGCTATGCCTTCCTCAGAGCTTCCAAGAGGTCCTGAGTAGTCCATGCATATTGAGTGCTGGGAACAAAGCCGGGTGTGTTATATGTGCATCGCCTGGGACCCATTTAACGTGTATCTTGTGGGCTGGGGATTAGCTCAGTGGTTTCGGCACCTGCCTCGCATATGCAAAGACCCAAGTTTGATCCCCGGTACCAAAGAATAAATAATAAAAAAAAATATGTGTCTTGTGCTAAACTAGTAGTTCCTGGTCATGGTCTTATTAGGGAAGATAGACTTTAATCAGCTAACTCAGGAGTGTAAAGGGCGTGGTGGCACACACCTGCCCTCCCAGCACTGGGAGGCTGAAGCAGGAGGATTGCTGGGAGTTTGAGGCCGGCCTGGGCCGCACAGTGAGGTCCTGTCTCCAGTTCTGATTTGAAAGAGAAGAGGCCATACTCTGCCGTCAGTGCTGTGTGATCATCTGAAAGCGGCCCAAGCTTTGCGTCAGAGCCGGGAAAATCACTGGCTACATTAGGAAGTCTGTGCCTACACACGATCCCCCCTGGGAAGGTGCATGCTCCTTTCACAGAGCCAAGGGATCCGCAAAAGAGGGGTCCAGTCCTGGCCTCCTGGGCACCAAGCAGGCATAGGGCAAGCGTGAACCCAGAGAGTCACTTGCAGGAGGACAGGACAAACCGCACTGCTGTTTCCTCTCAGCCCTTCGTCCAGAAAAATTGAGGAAAGTGAAAACATGCAACGAAAAGCAGGAAGATTTACTGCACTTTGAACTCCCAGAGCCCAGGACCTTCATGCTGAGCTACCTCGCCAGCCCTTTTTATTTACTTACTTGGGATGGTCTCCGCAGATTGCCCAGGCCGGGTTTGAATTTTCGATTCTCCTGCCTCAGCCTCCAGAGTGCTGGGATTATAGATGTGCACCACCACACCCAGCTTGCAACAGTTTTTGACTGGACTGGAAAAGCCATTGGATTTCAACCCTCCCTGTCTGGGCTTAGCTTGATGCCAGTGCCACTCGGCTGGCTCTTTATCGCTGCCTCAGTTTACTTGGCTCTCCCTGGACTTGTTGCCCCGCTCCGGAGTCTGCTGAGCTGTCCTCTATTTAACTCCTCTACCTGCTCCACTCAAGTCTGAGACGTGGCTCAGTGGCAGAGTGCTTTCCTAGTGTGCCCGAAGGCCTGGGTTTGATTCCGAGCACCACAAAACAGCAAAGACAAAGATACAGCATTCTTCTCGATCCAAGTGTGGTGGCTCACGCCTGTAATCCCAGCACTCAGAGGCAGGAGGATCACTGCAACTTCAAAGCCAGCCTGGGCTACATGGTTCAAGGCCGGCTGGACTGCATAGTGAGACCCTGTCTCCAAAAACCAAAAATAAATAATAAAAAGTTGATCCACATAAATTTCTTAAGAGTCATGAAGGCCTAACTTTGTTTTGCAGTACTGGGGATCAAACCCAGGGCTTTTGTACTGAGCTACACGACTGCTGTGATTACAGGTAGGCGTTAGAACTAATGCCTCAGCTGGGGGCTGAGGGTGTACTCCGTGGAAATGCTGTCCAGCATGTGTGAGGCCCTGGTTTTCATCCCCAGTGCTGACAAAAAAAAAGCTGGGAGTGAATGTAGCTCTGGTCAAGCGTGTGCTCAGCACAGCTGAGGCCCTGGGTTAAATGTCTAGTACAGACACAAGACATGCTGTCCAGTCATCTCATCTTGTAGAAAATACAAATTGCTAAGTACAAGCCTGGAGTGGTGGCGTACAGCTGAAATTCCAGCACTCTGGGAGGCTGAGGCAGGAGTATCACAAGTCTGAACTCAACTTGGGCAATAGTGAGATCCTGTGTCACAAAAATAAAGGAGAAAGTTGAATGTGAAGGGCCTGGTGAGTGCCTGCAATTCTAACTACTCAGGCTGAATCGGGAGGATAACAAGTTTGAGGCCACTCTGAGCAACTGTAGCAAGACTTCCTCAAAATAAAAACTAAACAAGGGAAGAGATGTAGCTCAGGACTCAATCCCCAGTACTGGAAAAAGAAAAGAAAGCGCTGATTGGGATACGGGCTTCAGATTGCTTATTTTGCACATAAACAGTGCACTGGCACCTGAGAAGGAGTCTCAAAAGTGTTGGTCCAGGGATGTAGCTCAGCGGCACAGCACCTGCCCTGAAAACGAGAGGCCCTGAGTTTGATTCATGGTACCAAAAAAACTAAGAAGGTTCACAGATGTAGCTCAGTGGTAGAACACTTGCAGGTGGTTTACCCTCAATGCCAAAAAACAAGTTAAATGCTTTCAGGTGTGGAGATGCTATAATGAATCCAAAATTCAGAAGAACAGGGTGTTGGCACACGCTAAAAGAAAAGAAAGCGCTGATTGGGATACGGGCTTCAGATTGCTTATTTTGCACATAAACAGTGCACTGGCACCTGAGAAGGAGTCTCAAAAGTGTTGGTCCAGGGATGTAGCTCAGCGGCACAGCACCTGCCCTGAAAACGAGAGGCCCTGAGTTTGATTCATGGTACCAAAAAAACTAAGAAGGTTCACAGATGTAGCTCAGTGGTAGAACACTTGCAGGTGGTTTACCCTCAATGCCAAAAAACAAGTTAAATGCTTTCAGGTGTGGAGATGCTATAATGAATCCAAAATTCAGAAGAACAGGGTGTGGTGGCACACGCCTGTAATCCCAGCACTCGGGAGGCTGAGGCAGGAGGATTGCTGTGAGTTTGAGACCAGCCTGGGCTACACAGTTCCAGGTCAGTCTCAACTACATAGTGAGACCCTGTCTCAAAAAACAACAACAAAAAAAATCGTAAAGGAGCTTTGGAGCCGGCCGTGGTGGTGTACACCTGTGATCCAACACTCAGGATACTGAGGCAGGAATCTCCCCATGATTCCAGGCCATCCTGGGCTACATAGACCCTGTCTCAGAAAAACAACAAAAAATCTCAGGCACAGCCTGGACAATATGATGAGTTAGCAAGACCTTGTCTCCGAGTTAAAGAAACAAAAGGCTTACTGCAAAGTGTAGCTCGCGAAAGGTCCTGTGTCCTATCCCCAATATAAAAAAGAAGCACAAGGACCTGAGTTTGATCCCCGGTACCAAAAAATCTACATATACCAGGGATGCATCATCAGCTTTGTCATCAGTGGCGCGAGATGGCCAAGGCCTGTCACCTGCGGGAGGACAGGCTTGTCTGGGTCCGCAGCTTCGGCCCCAGGCTGGCTGGCCCCGAGGCAGAAACTGCAGGCGAGAACAGCTGCTCCAGGCCTGGTGTCCGGAAACGAGGGAGGCGCCGGTGACAGGAAGAGAAGACCCTTCCCAGTGACACCCTGCGACCGTCCTCTGCCCTTTCCCTCCCAGCAGTGCTTGGTCCCTGCGTCTTCCAGTCACTTTCCTAATACGGGGAGGGGGTTCAGTCCTAAAGCACAACATCGTGTCCCCAGCCCCCAAAGGTTCCTGTCAGTCTCATCCGGGAAAGTACATTGAGTCCATCTCGAAGAGTCGCCAAAGTCTTAATAGTTCCGAGCACTGCTGAAAAATTTAATGTCTTCAGAGGTTCAAGGCACACAGCTGTGAGCTTCTATAAAAGTCAGACAGTTAAATACTTCCAACATTGAATGTTGACACGGAACAGATATTTCTGATCAAAAAGGGAGACGGGCAACCCACTTTCCTGTCCCCCTTCTGTTTCTCTTAGAAGCTTGCTTTCCCTCAATAAATTTTTCCTACTCTTAGCTTCCGTTGGTCCTAGAATTCCTTCTTCCGGTTACCTAGCAGGTTTGGGAGTTACATCTGTTCCCTCTGTGTCATTTTGGAGCTCTTCCACTGAGGTTACTGGATGGAGACAAAGCTTCCAGAATGTTTGGAGACCAAAACTAGAAAGATAACTGGGCTATGAGGACAGCCAGTATTTTGGCCCTGGCCCCTCAAGGTCTACAAGATCCAGGAGACAAGGAACCTTTCCTGCAGGATCCTACATTTTGTTTGTTTGTTTTGCTTGAGACTAACCTGGAACTCACTGTGTAGCCCAGGCTGATATTGAACTCACAACGATCCTCCTGCCTCAGCCTCCCCAGTGCTGGGATTACAGGTGTGAGCCACCACACCCAGCTTGGCCCATGCATTCATAACTGTTTCTTTGCCTTTGTCTCCTCCAGACTTAAAAAGCTATTCAGCTACCAAGATGACAATGCCAGGCACCTACCAAAGGCCTAAGATAGTCCCTCTATAGAATAACTCTACCTGCTGATCATAACGATGACCCTCTAAAGGTGGAAGTAGCCAGACCTGTCTTTGCCCTTTGCCCCATAGCAGGATAAATACCAGGATTGACATTTAACTGGGTGTGGTGGCGCATGCCTGTAATCCCAGCACTTGGGAGGCTGAGGCAGGAGAACTGCTGTGAGGTCCAGTCTCAACTACATAGTGAGACCCTGTCTGAAAAAACAGACATTCTAAATAGGTTTCAATCACCTGGATAGGGAACCAAGATTTTTAGCCCAGCCTTTCCAGGAAATATCCCTGCCCCACCCTTGTATGCTTGCTATGTGACTTGTTCCCCCATTTGAGCCCCATTTGATCAATATTACCTGGGTGACTGTACTTGTAATCTTATTGGTTGGTCATGGTTTTGCCCCACCTCATGCCCACCTTGTAATTTTCTATTGGGTCTTACAGTTTTGTCCCACTTTGTACCTGCCTCACCACATGGGTTTGCTGTATAAAACAACTTTGAGATGGGAGGCTGAGGCAGGAGGATCGTTGTGAGTTCGAGATCAGCCTGGGCTACATAGTGAGTCCCAGGTCAGACTCAACTACACAGTGAGACCCTGTCTCAAAAAACCAAAAACAAGCAAAATAAACACATTTGAGAATTTGAGAAGTGGGGTGGGCGGGCAGTCTACTTTCTGGTCCCCCTTCTGTCTCTCTTAGAACCTTTCCTTCCCTAAATTTTTCCTACTCTTGCTGAGCATGGTGACACACTCCTGTAATCTCAGCACTCGGGAGGCTGAGGCAGGAGGATTGCTATGAGTTCAAGACCAGCCTGGGCTACATAGTGAGTTCCAGGTCAGTCTCGACTACATACTGAGACCCTGTCTCAAAATATAAAACAAATTTTCCTACTCTTAAAAAAAAAAATCCAGGCCAGGTGGTGGTGGTTGGTTTGTTTTTTTGGTACCAGGGATCGAACTCAGGTCCTTGCACTTTTGAAGCAGGCAGTGGAACCACTGAGCTAAACCCCATCGCCCCTGGCCAGGTGTTGTAGAGTGTGCCTGTAATCCCAGTTGTTGGGAGGCTGAGGCAGGAGGATTGCTGTGAGTTCGAGGCCAATCTCAGCTATACGATTCAAGATCAGTCTGAACTGCATAGCAAGACCCTTAAAAAAAAAAAAAAAATTAAAAAAAAAAAAAAAAAAAAAAAAAAAAAAAAAAAAAGCCTGACAGTGGGCAAACATTACATCTTGTAGTCTTCTATCCAGCCCCAGGAACAAGTTGTGAAGTATGAATTCAAGGGGTTGGGGATTTAGCTCAGTGGCACCACACCTGCTTCACAAGTGCAAGGTCCTGAGTTCAAACTCTGGCACCAAAGAAAGAAAAAAATGAGCTTCAGAGGACTTGACAGCCTCACGCTATGCACCGCAGCTTGCGCCCCTCCTGGCTCCTCCCCTGGGATGCCTCTGCCAGCTGCCTGCGGTTTTCCTCAGCACGTGTCCCACAGGCCTGGCGTCTTAACTTCTGGGTCTTCACTGCACTGTGGCTTCACTCACAGCTTCATGCGTTGCTGTCTCTCACCCCTGGCCTCTGGCGGAAGCCTCCACAGCCCCACAACTCTTGCACCCTGCATGCCTGACAACCAGAGCCACATGGATGGTGCTGCCAGAGAAAGCAGCAGTGGGGTCCCCTCGGGCCGTGGCTGCAGCAGCTTTTACTTGCCTGGATGGCTGAACTCCAGGGCACTTTCTGGGTGGTCCTGCAATAGCTGGTCTCCCTGGTGCTCTCCTCTCAAAGCTTACATTTTTTCTGCCTCTGAGCTCCTGATGGGTGGGGTCTCCTGATTCCTGAGATGCCTTCGAGCTACCTTTCCTATTAACCCAATGCAAAACACTTGGCCTTTTTTTTTTTTTTTCTTGTTTTTTTGAGACAGGGACTCACTATGTAATAAGACTGACCTGGAACTCACTGTGTAGCTCAGGCTGGTCTTAAACTCACAGTGATCCTCCTGCCTCAGCCTCCCGAGTGCTGGGATTACAGTCAGGCACCACCACACTGGCTAGGCCTCTTTTAAACTCTAATGCTTTTAGCAGTCACTCTCCATGGCCTCAACTTCCCAGGCAAATCCCTTCTTACTAAGCTGCAAATTTTCATCTGCTACCTTCAATTTGGCTCTTGTTTTGTTGAGCCAGGGTTTTGCTGTGTGGTTTAGGCTGGCCGCAAACTCACTCTAACCCAGGCTAACTCATGGCCATTCCTGCCTCAGCCTCCTGATCAACTTGGCTTTTTGCTCCCACTTCCCACTATACATGTGGCAGTACCTATGCCACAGCCTGAACGTTGGGCTGCCTGGAAATTCTCTCCACTAGTTTAAGTCGGCCATCTTTAATTCAGCCTCCCATCCCAGTGTTGTGGCGCACACCTATAATCTCAGCCCTTGGAAGGCTGAGGCAGGAGGATCGCTGCAAGTTTGAGGCCAGCCTGGGCTGCATCGTGAACTTGAGGCCACTCTGCACTGCACAGTGATACCCTATCTAAAAACAAAAAACTACATTGAGCCTCTCACAAAGTCTTAGGACATGGGGGCAATGTGGGTACGTTCCTTGACAGGCTGTAACACACAGGGCTTCTTGCGTGTTTCCAGTACAGTCATCATTCCCATCTGAAACCTCCTGAGCCTGACCTTCACCGCCTGCATTCCTGTCTGCATCGTGGTCTTCTGAGACTTGACCAGAATCTCTTATCCGCCTCAGTGTACAGCCGTGGCATCTCCAGACCTTTCCAAACTCGTCCCACACCTGTACTCCAAAGGCTTCAGAACCACACGGTCAGCTAGAGCCACACCAGCCACGCACCTGTAGACAGTGTCCTTATCCGTCACCACCACCTCACCATCCCAGGACTTGACTACCACAGTTTAAAGGAGGCGAAATCTATTTTAGCTCACAATTTCAGTCCATAGTTTGCCAGCTCCAAGGCAGAAACTGTGGCAGAAGGGCAGGGTGGAGCAGAGGTGCTCGTGGCCTGGCAGCCAGGAAGTAGAGAAGGGAGAATCCAGTCACAAGACACTTTCCCAGGGCTTGCCCCAGCCCCCACCTGCTCTGACCTTGAGTGCCTCATCCCCGGGCCACGTTCAGCCTCCCCATGACCTAAGCACCTTTCAAACACACGAGACTTGAGGATTATTTTAGACCTAATCATAACAAGGTAATACAACAGACTTTTGAGATGGCGGTTTCGCTAAATTGCCCAGGCTGGGCTTGAACCTGGGATCCTCCTGCCTCAGCCTCCCAGAGTGCCAGAATTACAGGTTTGTGCCATCACACCTGGCTAAAATATCTTAAAAGTACCCTATTATCTTTAGCCAAAAAGTTGGAAAAATTAAGGAAATATCCTTTAACCTCCTTTCAAATTGGAAAATAGGCTTGAAAGGATTTTTAAAAGGTAGTAGTGGTCCAGTTTGCTGAGTGTGGTAGCACACACCTGTAATCCCAGCAATTCTCGAGGCTGAGGCAGGAGGATTGCTGAGTTGGAGACCAGCCTGGGCTACACAGTGAGTTTCAGGGCCAGCCTGAACAGCATAGTGAGACCCTGTCTCAAAAAAAAAAAAAAAAGTAGTGCCCAGTTACTGGGCCAGGGATATAGCTCAGTGGTTCTGCCACCTGCCTCACAAGCACAAGGTCCTGAATCCGATACTTGGTACACCCCCCAAAAAAAGAATAGTTACAGAGAGAACAAAGGAAAGTTAAAGGGCAGTAGTCCTAGAGGAATGATTCAAGAAATCACCCTACTGTAGGCAGCTGAATTAGAGATATTATAGGCTGACAGGGCTGGGCCCTTGACGTCAGCGCAGGAGGTAAGAATGGTAACTGGCCGAGGCACATTCCCTGAAGGTGCGGCGACTCAATCAACAAACTCCCCTAGAGGTCGATTTTCTAAATAGGTATCCGTCACCTTGCTCGGGGACCCAAACCTCCCTGGCCCATTTCTTCCCAGAAAGTCCTGTGTTCCACACACGCTTGCTGTGTGACTCGCTTCCCCATGGGGTCCCCGTTTAATCAGTATTACCCGGTGACTCCTCTCAGAATCATATTGGTTGGCCATGGTTTTGTGCCCCACACCTTGTCTTGGTCTATAAAACTCCCTTGAGAAGGGGGGCTCTAGGGCAACCCACTTTCCGGCCCCCTTCTGTCTTAGAAGTTATCTTTCTCTCAATAAATACTTCCTACTGCTCGGGAGAGACAGACTTGCTCTGTAGTTCGGGCTGGTTTTGAACTCACTGTGCAGCCTAGGTGGTCCTCTTGCCTCGGCCTCCCAAGTGGTAGGATTAATACCTCCTACTCCTAACCTCCATGGTTCCTAGAACTCATTCTTCAGTTTTAGAGAGCAGGAACTTGGCATATCGGACATCTAGCAGATTGGGAGTGAGAAGATTCCCCTTTCTATTATTTGCAGGTCCATATATCACCCTGTATCGTACACCTCCTATCGATCCCAGACTCCCACTGGCCCAGTCTCCTGAGTGGAGGCTGCACACCCCTGCAGAGAGAAAGTGAGTTTCACCCCAAGGCCCAGCCTTCCGAACGGCCTGGTGCCTGTCATGCCCAGGCTGGACGTCAGTGGAGAGGGGCTGCCGGATTGTTGATGAGGCCACATTGCAAACTCGCTCTGTGCATCTTCATCCCAAGGCTCACCCTTCCTACCCCGTGGCCCTTCGCAGACCCTGACTGGAGCAGCTGCTACATCAAAACAAGAAAATAAAGCAAGAAACCAAGAGGTGTGCTGTGCGCTCCATTCAACATGGATGAGAAGTGAAGAAACTGACTGAGGGCTGGGTCACCGCTCAGTGTGGACCTGGGTTCGATCTCCAGTGCTAGGGGGAAAAAAAAAACAACCCTGAAAAAGAAACAAAACATAACCATAGCAGACTAAACTGCTCAGCTGTGAATAACAGGTACAGAGACATAACTGCAGACAGAATAAGCTGGTTTCCACCAACCCCAGCACGTATGGTCCATCTCCCTGTATCTCCAATGACTGCTTTCCAGATGCCTGGTGGCCTCAGTTATCCTGGCTTGCTGTTGGTTAAATAGGAATTGTGTGAATGAAATCCAGTTAGTAAGTCAATACATTAAATAAATTCATTAAATATTGAATTAAATTATCAATGTAACCCATTCATGGTGAGTGATTGTGCATGCCTGTAGTAGTAGCAGTTAATAGGGAGGCTGAGGCAGGAGGATCACTTGAACCCCCAAGTTTAAGTCTACCCTAGTCAATATAGCCGGACCTTTTTTTTTTTGTACCAGGGTTCGAACTCAGGCCTTGTGGTTGCAAGGCAGGCAGAGGCACCACTGAGCTAAATCCCTGGCCCTCAGACCCTTTTTTTTTTTTTTTTTTTTTCCAGTAAGTTAGGGGCCAGGGATTTAGCTCAGTGGTTCCAGTGCCTGCCTCACAAGCGCAAGAGCCCAAGTTCAATCCCTGGTACCAAAAGTAAATAAATTAATAATTAATTAATTAAATAAAGTGAGTTAGCACACACCTATCTATAAACCCTGGCCAGTGCTCTGGGGGTTGAGGCGGCAGCACTGCATGTTCAAGCTTAGTCTAGGAAAAGTAGCAACTTAGCAAGATCCTGTGTCAAATAGTTTTTAAAGGATTGGGAATGTAGCTCAGTGTGAAGGCCCTGGGTTCAATCACCAGTATGCTAAGTACATACATACAATTGCTGTACTTGGGAGAGCTGGGGGTGTAGCTCAGTGGTGGAGCGCCCCTAGTTGTGATCCTCAGTACTGCAAAAGATAAATACGTTTAAAAAATTGATCTAAGCAAAACAACTGTGGTCCAAACCAAATACACACACATGCACATACTTTTTTAAGAGAACTAAATACCTGAAAAAGATTGGAGTATTAAACTTGTTTTTCTTTTGGTACTTGGGATTGAACTGTGGACCTTGTGCTTGCAAGGCAGGTGGCAGAACCACTGATTTAAATCCCTGGCCCCTAAACTTTTGTTCTAGTAATTTGAGAGCTTTTCACTTATCCTAAATAATATATCATAGTTTATACCCAACTTTCATCCCATAGTTTAGTTGTGTACTTTTTTTTTTTTTTTTTTTTTTTTGGTACCAGGGATCAAGCTCAGGCCCTTGCACTTGCGAAGCAGATGGCGGAACCACTGAGCCAAATCCCCAGCCCGATTTTTCTCTCTTTTTTTTTTTTGGTTTTTGAGACAGGGTTTCACTGTGTAGTTGAGACTGACCTGGAACTCTATGTAGCCCAGGCTAGTCTCGAACTCACAGTGAAGTGATCCTCCTGCCTCAGCCTCCCAGTGCTGAGATTACAGGCGTGCCTCCCCTCTCGGATTTTTTTTTTTTTTTTTTTTTTTGAGACAGAGTCTGTCTATCCAGGCTAACCTTGAACTGGAAACAATCCTTCTGCCTCAAAGCGCCAGGATTGCAGGTGTGTGCCCCCACACCTCTCTAGCTTCAAGAGATTTGAATCCAGGCTGACCCTTAACACATTACCCTGGACATTTTCACTGGTTTTGTGTTCTTTTTCCCCATTGGACCACAAATAACCAAAGACGGGCTTTCGCTCTTTCATCTGTAAGGTTGGGGCACAGAGTTTGGCTTTCTTTCTTCATTTCTTTTGCTTTTTTAAATCTAAGATTTACTGAGTCACTGCAGAACCTGCAGTTGAAGGTCCTGGTAGAGCGTTTTGGTCCGTTTCGCACACGGTCTCGCTGCCTGCACTGAGGGTGCTGTTCGGACCTGGGCTCTTCCCCTTGCTGCTTTGCAGGAAGGACCTGAGTTCCAGAGCTCCCCGCACCAGGGTCACAGAAGTGAGCACAGTGTCTGTCATCCAGGTCTCCTCAACGTCCAGCACTTTTTATTTTCCTTTTTTGTTTTCCTTGAGACAGGATCTCACTATGTAGCCCCAGCTGACCTTGAACTCGCAGTCCTCCTGCCTCAGCCTCCTGAGTGCTGGGACGACAGGGACACTTAAAGCTACCCCCGTGTCAGGCCCTCCCAGGGCTCAGTGCACCTGTGGGACCCTCTGTTACAGGGCCAGGCCTGAGGGATGCGCCACACTCTGAATTGAACTGAGTCCTTTATTCTGACAGCCGGTGGGCCACCGAGAATGGCTCAGGCCAGAAAAGTCCTCGACAAAGGAAAGGCACTTTGCAGGGTCCTTTTAAAGGCTCTTCCATTCTGGAGGGCTCAGGGAGAAGGGGGCACAAGCGGAATTTCACTGGCGCAGAAGTTCGCTAAGACAGCATGGGTTGGGCAGTTTCACACAGTTCAACTGAAACAAATTACGCTGTTTGAAAGGCAGCGAAGGTAACATCCACGGTTCTGTCAGGAGCAAGAGGCAGCCATTGGGAGTCACTGGACGTCACACACGCGCAGTCAGGCAGGCTAGCACCCCTCCTTCCCGTGGCGCTCAGCAGCCTTTTCCTGGGAAGGAATCATCGGACACCGGATTTGCTGGGGCTGCGGCTGCGGCTGGTTTGCCTCAGGGAGCCAAAGGAGGAGCAGGCACACGCTTGCCACTGAGGCTTCGTCCCCTGCAGGCTTGGGCTAGCGTGGCATTGGGGACAGCAGGTCGGAGCCCAGTACAGAGCTTCACACGGCAGGGCCTCGGTGATCCCAGCTATTCAGGAGGCTGAGGCGGGAGGATCGCAAGATCCAGTCCAGCCTGCGCAATTTAGTGAGACTCTGACTCAAACAAAAAGAAAGGGCCAGGGGTTGAGATCAGTAGTGCCCCACCTGCCTGGCAAGTGCAAGGTCCTGAGTTTGATGGGGGGGTGGCTGAGAGGGGTTATTGTTACTCTGACTGAGCCAAGGAATGGAGAAGATACTGGGGAAAGCCAGGTGTGGTGGCGCAATCCCAGCACTTGGGAGGCTGAGGCAGGAGGACTGCAGAGGGTTTGCAGCCAGGCCAGGGTGTAAGAGGAGGAAGGAAAATGAGATGAGAGGGCAGTGGGACATGGGGGACTGGTGGCCAGGTGTGGACTGAGGTGCAGGGTACCCACAGGAGGGGCTGTGGGGGACCTGGGGACCTGAGGGGCTTCCGTGGAGGAGGCTTCCGTGGGGACCCAGGGTGGCCTAATGGGGGGCGCCAGGCAGAGGTGGGGTCAGCACGGGGTGTTCTATGGCGCAATTCACCACCCTTCTCTCGGCCCCCACACAGTGGCACCCGCCTCTGCTGAGGCCGCTTCCAGGCAGCAGCTCTGCCCCCTCAAAAAGTTGTGAATGAATAAGGGTTAGTGATGTGACCTTATACAAACGGTGCATTGTTACAGTGCGGCTGACAAGGAAAACTGCATTTAGCCAGGCGTGATGGCACACACCTGGGGAGGCTGAGGCAGGAAGATCGCTGTGGTTTTGAGAGCAGCATAGGTAGTTCAGCAAGACTGTCTCAAAATTAAAAAGAGCTGGAGATGTAGCTCAGTGGAAAGGCCCTAGGCTCAATCTCCAGTACCACAAAAGCAAAACACAAACACGTATAACAGTTTTCCTCCACACACGGAAATCCACCTGTAGATACCTGTAGATTCCCAGGTGATGGGTAGGTCTCCACTGCGCTGGCCAGGTGGTACAGCAGCGTACGCCATATACATGTACTTGGTTAGTGCAACTGAACAACCTTAGTTCAAATACCTGCACACTGCTAGTAGCTACTGCGTGGCACACACAGGCATAGATAGCACCTCCGCAGGGGCATGGGGCAGCCTTGCCTTGGTAGCCAGGAGAGCTTGGCTCTTGTACCAACATTAGGGAGTCGTGTACTGTTGTGCTTGTCCACTCAACAGAGACACCATATGCCGGGGTGATGGTACACCAGTTGTCCCAGCGCTCAGGAGGCTGAGGCAGGAGGATCTCTGCAAGTTTGAAGCCTGCCTGGGCTAGTGAAATCCTGTCTCAAAAGACAAACAAAAAAGTCGTCTTTCTTCCTCTACCTTCTATCATTTTGAATTCTGTATTCCTGTCTTGACACCTTTCCCATTAATCTATGAGCCATTTAGTCTACTGACTTTTCTGCTTTTCCTTAACTTTTTTAGAAGTGTAATCTGAGAAGGAACCAAGTATGTAGATTAGTACAAACACTGCGAGGTAATCAGTGCCCTAAAAAATTTGTGTAGCCCAGGCTGGCCTCGAATTTGAAGTAATCCTCCTGCCTCTGCCTCTCGAGCGCTGGGATTACAGGTGTGCCCTGCCATGCCTGGCCTACCAAGGTTTTCTTTTTTAAGCAATGTTTTTGTTTTGAGGACTTCACTATGGTTATGGTTAGGTCAGTTTAGGGCTGACCTTGAACTACGTAGCCCAGCTGGGGGCTGAATGTGCCACCCTCCTGCCTCAGCCTCTTGGGCGCTGGTCTAGGGGTTTGTGCCACGGTGCCTGGTTCCCTAAATGAGCTTAGTGCAGTCAACACCCACACGATCTGTCCAACTGATGAGTGGTTAAAACTGTTTAAGGCTGGAGGGCAGCATCCCCTGCCAGCCTGCCCTGGCAGTGTCTATTTCCTCCTGCACCAGCGGCTGTCATCCTCCAGAGAAGGCAGATCTGGACAGTCAACCTTGTTCTGGGTGGGCGCCCAGTGTCGCCCTCCCTGGCAGACCCATGTGGCCGCTGGGCCTCCGTTCTGCTGACCTCGGGTCTCCTGCTCCGCCTGCCGGTCCCCCTTGGATGGGTACTTAGTATTGTAAAGAAAGGGAACCCTCTGACACCACCTGCCAAACTCCAGTGTGTGTGGTGTAACCAGGCAGAGCACGGGAGTTTGACCCCAGCTCTGCCCAAGAAACATTGGTTCTCCGGCCAGGGATTTAGCTCAATGGTTCCACCGCTTGCCTCACAAGCGCAAGGTCCTGAGTTTGAGCCCCTATACCGAAAAAAAAAAAAAAGATTCGATCCTCATCAGCCAATTTATTAGTGAAAACTGATGCTGAGTATAAACACAGTGTCATAAACATTACCAAAAGCTTAAAAAATAAAATTAGTTGCCCTAAAATCCATCTGCATCATTTAAAAATTTTTCTTTAGAGACACAGACTGGCCTGAAACTGATGGCGATCCTCCTGCCTCAGCCTCCTGAGCGCTGGGATGACATGAGTAGAGCCGCCAAATGCAGCTCTCCATGAAATATTTCTACCCTGATGAATTGTTTTGTTTCTTTTTTTTTTTGTACCAGGGATCAAACTTGGTCCTTGCGCTTGTGAGGCAGGGGGCGGCACCATCCATGAAATATTTCTGACACGCTAGAAACTTTGGGTTTACAGAACTCAAAGAATTCAAATGTGAAGAGCTCCTCTTTCAGTTCCCGAAGTGCACATGAAGTGGAGACATGCGTGTATTTTTCAAACATCAAAGGGTCTTTGCTTCTGAAGCTCATCTCTTGAAAGTTCAGATTCACTCCCCAGAAGGCACAGAGAACAGCCCCAAGAAGCAGTAACACATGTCTACCTTCTGAATACTCCGGTTTCCACTGAAATTTTTGTTGTTGTTGTTTTGTTTTTTTGGTACTGGGGATTGAACTCAGGTACTTGCGCTTGCAAGGCAGGCCACCGAACCGCTGAGCTAAATCCCCAGCCCTGTTGTTTTGTTTTTTGAGACAGGGTCTCATTATGTAGCCCAGGCTGTTCTCAAACTCACAGCGATCCTCCTGCCTCAGCCTCCCATGTGCTGGGATTCCAGGTGTGCACCACCACGCCCAGCTTCTACTAAAATTTTTTAACCAAAAAGTGTTAGGGAGAAAGTTGGTACCAGGGATCAAACATAGGACCTTGCATTTGGGAGGCAGGAGGCAGAACCAGAGCTAAATCCCCCGCCCTAAAAGCACCAATATTTGAAGCTCTTCCCCACCCTCTCTCTAGGGGAGGACTTGGTGGTGGTTTTCCAGGATACAGGTTCTGGAGGCTGGGAGGCCTGGGCTGACAAACGCTTCTGGAAGTTACGTGCTGTAAAATGAGTTCACCTAACTTTTCTGAGCCTGCTTTCTCATCTGTAGGATGGGTATATTATTTATGACAGCAAGCTATTTGGAAGATAATTTTAAAAATTTGACATAGGGCCAGGCGGAGTACAAATGCCTGTAATTCCAGCACTCTGGGAGGCTGTAGCAGGAGGATCGCAAGTCTGAGCCCAGCCTGGGAAATGCAGCGGCTGCCCTGTCTTTCTCCTGACACGATACCAACACACACCATTTAAAGGAGGCTTCTTCTACCTCACAGTAGGTAAAGGGTTCAGTCCACAGCTGGTGGCTCCAGGGCAGAAATGGCTTGGTGGAAGCGGGTGTGGGAAGGCAGAGTCCAGGAAGGAGGCGGGAGGGAGGGAAACCTCCGTCCCATGGCCCCTTCGCACCTTCCAACCTGGCCCCTAGCAGCCAGTGGTTCCCCCTTGTCACAGGATCGCCTTTTTTTGGTTGTTTTTTTAGGGCAGGGTCTTGCTATGCAGTTCAGACTGGCCTTGAACTTGATGCGATCCTCTGGCCTCAGCCTCCCAAGTGCTGGGCCACTCACTTTTTAGTGCCCCCCCAAGCACACAGGATGCTTTGGGGACATCTAGATACAAACCATAGCAGGGACTCGGCACAACTCTGTCTCTTGGATCAGGGATTTGGCTCAGTGGTTCCGCTGCCTGCCTTGGACGTGCAAGGACCTGAGTTTGATCCCTGGTACCAAAAAAAAAAAAAAAAAAAATCTCAAACTACAAAAAAAAAAATCTCAAACTACAAAAGGGCTGGGGGTGTATTTCAGTGCAAAAGGCCTGGTTCCATCCCCAGTACCAGGGGGAAAATCCAACACAGATGGTACCTCGCCTGCCTTGTAAGCACAAGATCCCGAGTTCAATCCCAGTACCAAAAAACAAGGAGAAAAGAACGCAGTGGCTTAAGGCAGAGGCAGTGAACCTATAGCACGCTTATCACTGAAAGCATGAGAAGTTTCGCCATCACTGGATTGAGGCCCCGGACCCAAGCGTCAGGGTGACGGAGACAAACCAGGTGAGGAGCTGGAGAGAACCGTGCACGGCGGGCACCAGGAGGCTCCAGGGTCTGCGCCTCAGAGCTCATTTAGAAGGATCCACGGCTCTCTTTAATGTTTAAACTCCACTCGTTAAGAATTCATCAATGACGTTTTTTTAAACTCAGAAAATCATACAGTAGTAACTTATACCCGTACTGATAGAAATGTTTTGAATGTCTTATCAAAGAGAATAAAAGAAACCGGGACATAATTTCACATTGACATTTTTATTAACGCCAACTGGTTTTTAATTATTATTTTTAAAACAATAGCACAAAAATGTTTCGAGGAAGCAGTCTCACAATCTGATGACCCTCTGAAATTACAGTTAAGCCACACCAAATATGAATTTGTTAATAACAAAAAAGATTTTAAAGAAAAATAAAGAAAAGAAAGAAAGAAAAAAAAAGCAGGGCCCTAGACTCTGGGCAGGAGCGGCTCGTTACAGAGTGGGGGCCTTGCGGCTGTGCCTCCTTGTGCGCAGGCCGCAGCAGGGACAGGGACACCGGCTCTGAGGGGCCGGCTGGGCTGAGGCTGACAGTTAGGGGGGTTGGCCGGCCAGATGGTGACGACCACCGGGCGGAGAGGCCCCTGAGAAGGGACTGGATAAACGCTTCTACTTCTACCGTCTCACCTACACGCACGTCAGCGTTCTTAATGTCGTCTTTAAAAAGAAAGAAAAAAATGTGTATCAGTTTCTCTTATTTAATGTGGCAAAGAAAGATGTTTCCTTATTATTTCTCCATCTCTAAGAAGGACACTGGGGCCGGGCATGGGTAGAACTAAAGGGAGGAAAAACCCGGAACAGGGTAGGGGTTCTTTATTTTTTAGACATTTTTATTTTTTTGCCCAAGGGGTCACACAGAAGGGAGGGAAGGAGGGAAACTATAACCCTTGGTTCAGACCGAGTTACGCAGGAAAAGGTGTCTTCCTGGGCAGCTCCCCTGCCAAGAAAAAACAAACCACTTGGAATCGGCAGACTCGACTGCGCCACCCCCGCCTCCGTGCGTCCCAGCGATTGCCGCTCCGGCTGAGGTGCCCGCCGGGCCCGCTGCACACAGAAGCCTCCTGGATCCCTCTCGGCAGGTTAGGAAACAGGACATCCGTCATTAACAGGAGCGTTAAATACTTTTTACCACTGACAAGGCTTCAGGAAGTTTCACAGTTTCATTATGCTCTATTTTATTACTATTATATTTACATTTTAATTTTTATTGTAGTTTTTTGCTGAATTGCTGATTTGCCTTTTCAATAGAATTTGATTCTGGAGTGTGAGCAGGAATCAGGAACTACATTCATCGTCCGACCCCCACTGTTTCTGTCTGGAGAAGACTGGAGTTCTTGGCGTGTGGCTGTGTCCCAGGCGGCTCCCCTCAGCCCTGTCCCCACGCGGAGAGGAGAAGCCGGCGGCCGTCA